GAAAAAACAAAAGTTGTATCCAAGATTGCCGACTTCTAATTGGTCACCATGGTCACCACTCATCTTGAGGAGTTTGCCCCCTCACATATACTAATGTGCCACAAACAGGACTTTAATATCACCAACCATCCCCATGTTATTACGGTGTATCCATATAAATGGCCCACCCTGTAGTTCTGCTATACGTCACACACACAGTTCCGATCAAAACTCTGCTTAGTTTCACTTTCTGTCTGCCACGCTTCCTGTTCTCTGCAAAAGCATGCGGTTTCCTGTAAGTACTCTGACATTGTACTCAAACTGGCGTTCTCCTACTCTGGCCTCTATAAAACAAAATAAACAGAATATAAGCACTAAGAATATATATTTATCTTGTAACAACGTTTTATATTGTAATTAGTGGTAGTACGTTTAATTAGACAGCAAAATATTTTAATGGTACAAATGTAGTAAATGAATTGTTAATGTTAATTTTACATACATAAATGCTGTTATATGTCCTCCCAAAATAGACAAAAGGTCTTAGCAGGGTAATCTGTGGAGAACTTCCATCATCTTCCGGAGAGCATTCAGTTCCAGATGTTGGGTAAAGAGGTCCTAAGAAGCAATTAGGTAGAACATGACAAAAAGATAGAAAAGGCCTATATGGTTAATATTCTGCAAACATAAATATGAAACATATTTCTCATAGGCTTTCAGTCTTTACTCCTCTATGAAATGTGAGGCTGATATAAACTGATGATAAAGCAATAAAAGTCAAATCTTTAGAGTTTTGAAAAGATACTTACTGACAGCCTGAGCAGTCACTACACCTGTACATGAAACAAAACACGGATAAATAAAATTATGACAAGTTTTCTAAGATTGTAAGATGTTATTTCTGATCCAAAAAATTTGAGTCATCACTTAGGCAAAAATAAACACACCATAAAATGGATTAAAGGAACATAAGTACAATTACTAACCTGTCATTCCCAAAAGCAGCACAAAAAACATTATTTGACCCACCATTCTGTCAAATCGGTTCTCTAGCATATCGACACTATCTCTCCACACCGTTACCTATTCCATACGTACGGGGAAAGACCCCCCTTGGTCGTGGCGTGTGGATATTTCTTTAAGCCACTCCGGCACGCCCGGCTACACTCCACAGCTTACGTATAAAACAGATGACCGGTGACCATTTGATCTCCACTTCTGTTGTATGTGTGTGCGAGTGCCTTGAGAGTGCTGTATGCATGTGCGTCTGTCAGGAGCATGCTGCCTCTCCCCTGATAGTAGTGATGTGTCGGTCGCGAACAAAACGGCTCTTAGAGCCGGTTCTTTTACGTGAACGACGCGAGCCGGCTCGTGGATTTTTTTTTCTCTCTCACCCTCTCTCTCACCCTTTTTTTCCGCTTCACTCCGCACGCGGGCCTTGTGCTTTGCGCTGAGAAGAGGGGGGAGGGGCAGTAGTTACACTTTCAGTAGCACAGGAACAGAGTGGGAAGGAGAGAGAGAGAAAGAGAGCCAGGGACAACAACGTCACATTAGAAAGGTATAGTAATCATCCACAACTATTTTCAGTTGC